AATTACTATAATATCCCTAACTTAGGTTGTGACTTTTTCGATGAGTTGTGACTTTTTCGATAAATTATGACTTTTTTCGAAGGGTTGTGATTTTTCTATGAGTTGTGACTTTTCCAAAGAGTTGTGACTTGTTTTTAATAAGTTGTGACTTTTCCAAAAAATCGTGATTTTTTCAATAAGTTGTGACTATTCCAAAGGGTTGTGACTTCTCGAAAAGGTCATGACCTTTCAGATAAGACACAAAATATTTGTTCATACTACCATTTGTTGACTATAAATAGAGGGGCTTCTTCTCATTTTTCAACAACAATTTCTTTTAATATTCTACTCTTCTTCTTGCATTTTAAAACTTTTGTGTGATTTATTGTCGTTCATGAGTGAGTTCGAAGTTTAACGGAATATGAGCTACCACTATTCTGATGAAGTAAGTCGTTCTTTCCTAAGAGGGTATATTCCCTAACCTCGAGTACTTGAGGAAAATAATTTTGATGATATAATAATTATTTTTTTGCTTAATATATACATTGGTATGTAATGTTTCAATATATGAAGTTAACATGTTGTAGTCTATATTCATTTGTTTTTGTCAACAATTTCTCTTGAGATGTAGATATATGCTTCTGAATATCTTATCCAAAATTTAGAGAATTGTCACGATTTGTTTTTGATGGTCAAGACAAAAAAATGATTTTATTTATCAATGATTTACACTCTCATGAAGTTTTCTTCAAAATAGTTATTACTATATAAACATTGTCCTTTTGTTTTTACTTATTTACTATTTCTTAATATTTCAGTATTTTAGACAAAGAAAAGTTTATATGACTTGTAATAACGCCAGTTGAAGTTTGTAATAGTTAAATTTTTATTATTTATTTAATAGTTAATTTTATGAGATAAATATCTTCATTACTACAAATATATATTTATATTTGGGTAGGTATTTGTATTTAAATTAAAGTATTATATATGGCACAAATGTATTATCAAGTTAACAAGATCTTCTAACTTCAAAATATATTATTTCAAAATGTTCCGAGTTTTATTTTAAAAAAAACTCACAACAAATGTGAAATATGTGAATATATAAAATTTAGTTGTTCTCTTCACATGTTCATGTGACATCTAAACAATTTAACGTGAAATACACATGCAAAGCACATCTGGTTAGATGACAAGAAAAATACAAAGCGAATATTGTCTATAAGGTAATATTAATGAGATAAGACTAATTACATAATAGAACCTCATAAAATTGAAATAAATATATACATTATTGCATTTAATTAATAAAAATTTTCATTGACCATCTTCATAGGTTTGCATGAATAAGAGATATATATGACGATTCACGTTGCACATTCACAAAAGAATCTGAAATATTATTTTTTGCTAAGCTTATTATTCAAATCGTGCTTAAATAAGCAATACTATTTACTATAACATATATTTTCAAAAAAGTAGTATATATTATATATTATATATATTATTATAAGTGGGAAGGTTTTGTCTTCAAAGTTGAATTACAGTTTTGCCCTTGTTGTTAATTAAATATTTCAAAAACCTAATTAAAATACTAAGTAATAATATTTTAATTATTTTTTAGATTATGAGTTATTTATTGCTTATTAGCATGAAAATTAAATAATTATTAATTATATTGTATAATGAATTAGCCAAAAGAGGTAAAGTAACTTGTATATGCTTTCCTTGGCATTAGATTTACGTGATTCAACTTCCTAGCAGTGCATGTATGGTGAAGAACCCAAGAGTTATTTGTATGACTTTTTTTTCAGCAAGACTTTTGAATTTCTATATAACATTAAGATATATTCCCTAACTTATAAATACACTTGTGTGCTTCATGAGATGGTACTTTCGTATAAAATTTGTCATGAAGTAGTCTTAATTATTTTAAATTTTACTTGTTTCGTTAAGATAATGAACCATGGCAATGCTCATGATATGAACGAATTGCCATCAGATTCATTATCAAGGTGTGAAGAATAATGAAGAACTCCATGACTCTAATTGTTGCTATATATATACCTCAACAACTTGACGGTAAGAGATTTTTTAAAATTAGTCACATATCATTATTGTATCTCTTGATTGTTTAATTTCGATATTACTTCTCTTTTGCTTCTTGTATCATTTGATATTTGTCTTGTAGTCATTAATTATTGTCATTTTTCAAGGTTGAAGAGATGTTGAATGAAAGAAAATCTACAAATGCACACATATATTATGTTCTGTTTGTAGATTCTATTATATATTTATTCTTTTATATTTGGTCAGTTTTATTTGCTTTTTAGATTTAATTTTTTGTTGTTGTTTGTTTTATCCTTTTCACTCCAAGTCCCCAATATATATTGCATGGAATACTACTATACCTGTCATAATGATTATTCTTAGAGTCGAAAAGCCAAAAAACTCTAATGTTATTTTTTCTTTATGATGGTTACGAACTTTGTGGTGACTAGGTGAACAAAGATGCACACTATATGTATTTTTACATCGTATCATTTTATTCTGATATTATTCTATAACTTCGAAAGGAAATTCTCTTGCAATCTATGAATTACCTTTAATGTACCATATTTTATGTTATTCTTTAGAAATACAATAATAACTTAAATTTATGAATAAATGTGATTGCATGTTTAGAGCTACAAGCCTTAAAGGAAAAAAGTATATTCAAGGTTTTAATATGTATCTATCTAGCTATATTATTAGATAAATAGAATGTCTTAAACTAAAGTAATGAAAAACTAAATAAATCCTATCAAATTGAATGCCCACGTAAAGTTTAAAGACATTATATTTTTACTCTTCAATCAAATTCCTTCTTTTGGAATGTATGCTCCAACTTGTGAGGGCATTTTTCACTAAAGCTAGTCATGATAAAAAAAAAATGTATGACACCCCCAAAAAGAAAATTAAGAAGACAATTGAACAACTTCAACAATGGACTTTTGGAACATAAAATATCTTCCTTTATTGAAACATATTGTTTAATAATACTCATGTAATTTTTAAAAATTAAATATTCACTGATATGGGGTACCTTCAAAGTTGGATTACGATTTTGCCCCCTTAGTATATCACAATTATATTAATAATTTAACTTCTTGTATAATACTCTTGCCCTAAACCCCCATTTTTTATTCTACCCCCATTCCTCTATGATTAATATTCAGTTAATTCGAACTTGAGCCCGAATGTTGAATCGACTTTTTTTATTCTTTCTCTTTCCTCCCTTATTCTAAGAAGGGAAAAAAGAGAAAAGAGGGGGAGAGGGATTCATCACCAATATTTGATTGGATCTCTAATTTTCTTCATTCCTTCCCATGACAATAACTAGAATGAAAAAAAGGGGAATGTCAACGCATCCGGGGAAAAATGATTAATCTCTATCAATAGACCTGCTAAAGCCCTGAACCATAGTGTACTTAGTACTGGTGCCACAGAGAGATATGTTTTTAGATCTCGCATTGAAAAACCTCCTTCTTTTGTATTATTTGTTGGAATAGATAATACATATATGATCAGATGCATATGTAGTTAAGGGCTGCTTAGAGTTGGACACAGAATTCCTAATTCAAATTGAATTGTACAATGATTCGGAAAATAAGATTTTCCTTTTCTTAAAACAGAAAAAAAATACATCCCCTTCTTTCTTACCGAGAATTTCCGAAAAAGACTAATTTATTTTTACGACGGATTCTGTATTTAATATTTTGTATATAAGTATTTTCTATATAATCTATAAGAGAAGTCTTTTCCCTTTACTATTATACTAGATAATTTTTGCCCGTGCGCGCACGGGCCCAATTGTTACCTTATTATTAGGTGTTTTATTCATAAATTAGTCTTGTACTATTTATTAAGCTAGCTCATTATTAATACTTTCACAAGTTTTTGTCATTTAAAATTGCATCAGGTTGTTATAACAACTTTGAGTAATATCAACCATACTCCATGACTCAAGCGTGTTAAGAATAAATAATATAACGTAATTGATTTTGAAACGAACTCAATCATTATGATAAAATACTATCATAATGTTTTTCACATGCATTTTTATTTATTCCAAGGACTAATTCATAATTCTAACTGGTTAATTAGACGACTGTGTAGTCAAACATTTTGTATTTCCAATTTGTTGTATAATGAATGGAACTTTCTTACTTTCCAAATTTAGTGTAAGTTGCACATGAATAACACAAACATATGTGGATTATTTTTGAAGAACTTGCAACTTCGCATATATAAATAATGTGTGTGTATGCACGACAGTGCAATCATCAATGTGTGTCGGTGTACTACGGGTAATGTATGTGTATGTATATTAACAATTTAAAATCATGTTATTGTTAATCAATAAACAAGTTTCAACACTGACACAAGGTTGTATAAAATACAAAAATAGATAAATATTAGGTCCGTGCACGCACGGGCAACCACCATCTACAATCGAAGGAAGAAGTGTACAAATGAATGCAGGTCATGAAGTATATGTTTGAGTATTTCCTCTTCCATTAACAAATACATTGAATTTTGAGTTGCAATATATTGAATTAAATTAGAATGTTTCCAAATTATGCCCTATATATAGACAGATATAACTTGAGTACTTCATTTGTTGGCTGAGGAATTTAAAATGCTTCGAGCAAACCATGGGGAAACAATTGAACAGACTCTTCCTATTTTCATATCTAATAAGAGTACATAAGCTTCCAACTAATTTCCATGGCAGATGGCATTGGTGCTACAAACTGGAGGATATCTGAGTTTGAGCTATGATCCGAGTGTTTTTTCGCTTTTCGACTGTGAAGCTCAATAAAATTGGGTATATTTGGGAGAACAAGCTCCCTACAATGCAGATGTAATAAAGGGACCTTAGATAAGACACACATCTACTCTTGGTACCTGTTCCATTTGCGATGGACAAACCAACCATACTTGTAGTCACCCACAATTGGAGTTCCAAGGGCTTAAACATAATGAACTCGAAGCTGCAAAGTAATAGAAAACAAAATCAGTTTTCCCTATTCCCTTCCTTTGCCAACAACTAACTACCAGAAATAAAAATATGGCCTTCTCAGTTACAGTTGAGTTGGGCATTCAACACAAAATAGGCACACACAAAATCTCCAGTAGTAAAGCAGCATCTTCCGCATACCTACGTTATAAATTACAATAATAATATGCAATATTTAACGAAGATCAAGTAATCTATATGCACGCATATACTTCACATCAATTTATTTGACGAAAACACAAAATTTTAGAAGTATCTATTGAGAACAATAAGGAGGACCATCCGACCATGTATGGTCAATTCAAACTTGCAAGTAAGTAATCAGAGTACAAGACTTCCAAAACTCTGCATAACTAATGAGTTAAATTGACCATTATAGTACAAGGCATAGAGAATTGTCTTTGGAGGGGTTAAAAGTAATAAATGACTCAACATTTATTTCCTAGATATTTCCAGTGTGAAACACAAATATTAAAAATCTAACAGAGTGAGCTCAATTCACAAAGCAAATTGTGAAGTACTCAAATTACCTTTCATCGACAACGTTCTCTTTCAATCAATAACATCTATCTAATATACAAAAATTATGGCAATGTGTCAGTAAATTGGACTCAGTAGGGAAGTTATAGGATCTGGAAAAAAAAATCATGATAATATTTTAAGAGCCAACTACATATTGAGTACAACTAAATTACTGATATGAGATGCAATTCATTATTTGTACCTTGTAGGCGTGCGATAAGAGGATCAGCGCACTGTTCTAGTGGAAGTTAGGGCGACAACTGTCATTTTCATTGTCATCCAAAATAAGTTTCACTCCATTGCTCTTAAGGTCGTTAACTATAGCCCAAACTTTTGTACGATTTTTGAAACCTTTCTTCTCAACCTCTTTATTTACATTGACATGGATCCCGTTTCCTTGCCCCTGATCAGGACCCTCCACTTTGAGACGCATTGCCAACACTTCTCCTACAATCGCTGCAGCCTTTGCATTGCAAGTTCTACCGCACTCAAGTGACTGTTTCACTGAATGTTCAACAGTAGATGATGTTGCTACTATACATCCGTTGTTTCTGTCTACCACATTTGCAGTGATGTACTTCAATGATATGAACAATCTCAACACATACCTCTTCAGCAACGTCATATTTCAAAAATCCAATCTGTTGGGGAGGAAGTTCTGTTAGCGAGAGCATACATTTAGCATCTCTAGCAAACAGGTAAAACGCCATTTTTTCCTTGAAAAATATAAATCAAGTTCAATCTTTTGCGAAAATCAGAGAATACTCGAGAGGTCTTCACCCTAGTTTAGTCAGCAGTTAATAAGCATGAGGAAAATTATCAGAAATGAAAGAGAAACTTACAGAAGTGTAGGAACACGAAAGCAAAAGAACTTGAGAGTAGAAGTCACAACAACACGGGTAAAAGGTTGTTACAAAGAACTTTAAATTAGCAGTTCAGTATCAATATTATAAAAAAATTTAAGAATTAAAAGCTAAAAAATATTTGGTATTACTTTAAGCAGATGCTTGATTAGTGTAAAAATTAATGTTTATCTTCACTGAAGAGAGACCCTTGAATCTCACATATACTCTGTTGATCTTCCGGGTAAACTTACACAGACACAAAAAAAAAGGCATAGTCTTGAACCATTTAAAATGACTCTTGTTTTGCTATTTTTCCTTTTCAATTTTTCTTTTTCAGTCCTCTCACTTCGTTTGAGCTCGAAGAATGTATGTATGAGCCACAAACCCCTCATCCCCATTGCGTAAATGGTAGTTAATTCCCATGTCACTTCTCATTTTAGCTTGTCGATCTTTTGTATAAAGTTTCACATAAGCTGCTAGCCGTAGGATAAAAATCTACTTTAATAATCCAAGACTTATGGTGGAAAAAGTGGTTAACTATCTCGGAAAAATCCATAGCCAACTCCTCCTCCCCTGTTTTAACTCAGTGACATATTACAACAGATTATCAGATAATTAAAAAAATTAAGAAGCTACATTAGAAAACTGAAATCGAAAGAGGCTGCTTCTTTGGAGAATTTTTACAAACATATATAGAGCAAAAGCAGCATGCTTGTTTTCCCTTAATTTTACCGAGAGTATAACGAAAATTACGAATCTAAAAAATAACCTCTAATTTCTTTTCCCCTAAATCACACAAAAAATCAATTTGCAAATATAAGTAAAACTGGAACCCTATGATTTCGTTTTTCGCACATAGAAAATCAACAAAATTGAAGGACGATAAGTATACTTTTCTCTTTAAACGCAGAAAGTATAACCTGACATTCAACTCGAAAAAATTACAAGTGAACAGAACTTCAACCCAAACAATCAGACCCAAAAGCACACCAATCATTAAGTAGAGCACACAATCAGAAAGTGAAAGAGATACATATCGAGAAACAGAAAAGTAGAGTTGAGAAGATGTGATGATAACGGGTGTGTTTGGTATGAAGGAAAACATTTTCCGAAAAATGTTTTCCAATTTTCTCATGTTTGGTTGGGTTAAATATTTTGGAAAATGTTTTCCAAATCAACTCATTTTCCTCAAATTTAAGGAAAATGACTTCCCTTCAAAACTTATGAAAAACATTTTCCAAAACTCTCTTCCAACTTCAAACCTGCCCCCAACAACCCCCAAAAAAAAAAAATAATTTAAGTTTGTTTTCAAAAAATATTTTCAATTTCAAAATTTCATTTTTT